AATTAGTTCAATCATTGTGGAAGACAGTGTGGCAATTCCTCAAGGATCCATAAATAGAAATGCCATTTGACCCAGCAATCCCATTACTGGGTATATATCCAAGGAATTATAAATCATTCTATCATAAGGACACATGCATACGTATGTTTATTGCAGCACTTGATAACAGCAAAGACTTGGAACCAACCCAAATGCCCATCTATGATAGGCTGGATAAAGAAAATGTGGCACATATACACCATGGAATACTATGCAGCCATAAAAAAGGATGAGTTTGTGCCCTTTGCAGGGACATGGATGAAGCTGGAAACCATCATTCTCAGCAAACTAAGCAAGAAGAGAAAACAAAACACCACATGTTCTTACTCATAAGTGGCAGTTGAACAGTGAGAACCCACGGGCACAGGGAGGGGAACATCATATACTGGGGCCTGTCAGGGTGTGGGGGGCTAGAGGAAGGATAGCATTAGGAGAAATACCTAATGTAGATGACAGGGTGATGGATGCAGCCAACCACCATGGCATGTATATAACTATGTAACAAATCTGCATGTTCTGCACATGTAGCCCAGAACTTAAAGTACAATTAAAAAAAAGAAGTACCACCCCCTCCCAAAAATACATAAAAAATAAATGAAAAAGAAATAATATAGTGGGTCTTCACATGTGGAAAAAAAAGAAATAATAAATATCCAATTTAATAGACCTAGAATTTTAAGAAAATATAAAAGCAACACTGCAGGGCCAAAAAAACAGAAAAATCAGAGTAGATCCCTGAGGAAAATCAGGCAGAAAAACAAAGACATTTTTATAGCTAGCTAGTGTCAGAAGACTTAAACAAAAAGAGAAGCATTATATCAATGGTATAACTAATGAAGAGAGTACAGAAGATATTGGTGACAATTTGGGTGAAAGGGTAAAAGGCATGAAGCTGTAAAGGAAGGCCCTGGCCTAAGAAAAACTATCTCAATCTGGAGGATGAGAAAAAGAAGAGCACCTCTCTGTCATCAACAAGTAATTTAAGAATAACTTATATAAAAATAATCATGATAGTTGTACTTGAGGATCTTGCATTAAATATTAGCATCACTGAACTCACTACTAATTCACATTAGAAAATCAGAAATATGGCTGGGCGTGGTGGCTTAAACCTGTAATCCCAGCATTTTGGGAGGCTGAGGCAGGTAGATTACATGAGGTCAGGAGTTCGAGACCAGCTTGGCCAATATGGTGAAACCCTGTCTCTACTAAAAATACAAAAATCAGTCAGGTGTGGTGGCACATGCCTGTAATCCCAGCTATTTGGGAAGCTGAGGAAGGAGAATGGCTTGAACCTGGGAGGTGGAGATTGCAGACAGCTGAGATCACCATTGACCAGCCTGGTCAACGAAGCAAAATTCCATCTCAAAAAAAAAAAAAAAAAAAAAAAAAAAAAAAAAAAAAAAAAAAAAAAAGAAATACATTATTAAGGAAAGGTCAACCAAGTAAACCAAAGACTAGAATCAATAGAAACTATCTTCCACTTATATAACTTGGTATTAAACAGACCATTATTAGATTTTGATGTCTAGTTAATGTTCCATATTCTTCTTCTAAAAATAGTATTTACATGGTCATTGTGTAGAATATTTGTAAGATACAAGAAAAACACAACCAGACCGTTAATCTCAGTATCTTGATAGAAATATTGATTTTTGGGTATATATATTTCCATTTTTTTTCTTATGTAGTTTGTATGAATTTGCAAGCGGGAATTTAGGTGAGCAAATTTATGGTAGGCAGAATTTTGGCACCTGTGATCTTTATCCTCTGGTATAAAGGGTTGTGACTATGTTACTTCACACAGCAAAAGGGAATTAGGTTTGCTAACCATTTGATTTTTAAACAGGGAGATTCTCCCGGATTATCTGGGTAGAAATGGAAGTGAAACAGGAAGTCAGAGAGTTGGTTAAAAAAATGTGATGGAAATCCAAGAGGCAGGAGAGATTCAGAAAATGAGAAGGACTTAACTCCTCCCTGCTGGCTTCACAGATGGAGGACGAGGACCATGAGCCAGAGAGCATGGGTTACGTCTAGAAACTGAGACTAGATTCTAGCTGACTGTCAGCAAGAAAATAACCACGACAAGGAACTGAATTCTGTCAACACCTAAATAAGCAAGAAAATAGACATCCCATAGCGCCTCAAAGGAATCCAGCCTGCCAACATCTAGATTTTAGTTCTGTGGGATCTATGTCAGATTTCTGACATACAGAGCTGTAAGATAAATAATGTATGTTTATAGGAGGGGGTGGAGGGTGGAAGAAAACAAGTATGTATTAAAAAGCCACTAAATTGACTACTCCGCCTATGGAGTAGCCATTCTTTATTCTTTTATTTTCCTAATAAACTTGCTTTCACTTTATGAATTTGCCTTGAATTCTTTCTTGTGTGAGGTCCAAGAGCCCTCTCTTGGGTTCTGGATCAGGACCCCTTTCCAGTAACATCTTCCTGGGGAACCCCAAAGAGATGATACTGAGGAGACCCCGGACTCAAAGAAAACATTGCAGCACTGATTGGCTGACTTTGGGTAAGTGGTGGAGTAGCTGGGTAAAGGATGGGATTGGGTAAGAGGCCCAAATTAGGGGAGTTAGAGTCTCTCCTAAGACAGCGTAGGTTAAAAGCCCCTCTTAATAAAAGGCAAGGATGCTTGACCAAAACCTGGGTTCAAGGCTCAACTTAGGAAGGTTAGAGTCCTTATTAAGATTTAGGGGGTTAGAGGCCATCCTCTAAGTAATGTCCCTTTTGGTTAAAAATAGATTCAGTATTATGGGAAGTTAACCATTATTCTCTATGGATTAATCTGCCTTGCATTCTTTGCTGATGACTATGGGTGACAGGACTAGGCATGTACAGGACCATGGAGCATAAGGAGCTTTTCCCTCCCCAAAGTGGGAAACTAAGGCTGAGACTAAGCTACATTCCCAGGAGATTAGAACAAAACTAGCTGGAGTTTTTAAAGAAAAGAGAACGAATCACCAGAGGGGGGCATTACAAAAGCTATTTCTCAGGAAGTCTCATTTGTTTACAGAAATAACATTGGTTAATGATTGGCTATATACGTTGTTGAACTATATATAGGGTTGAACTATAGCATTTTATGGCTACTTGGTGTCATTCTAGAGCCTGCATAGCAAGTGGCTTCAAGAGGTAATTATTTAGCTCAAGGGAGAGTGAGACATGACTGCTTGCATTCCTTAAAGTTTATTTTTCCTTATCATCTACCTTCTCACACCACACAATTGGCAGTTTCAAGGGATCTTATATGACTTGAGCACATTTCACCTCTTGAAATTAAAGATGAGCAGTTTTCCTTTGTTTAAAGATAAGTCACATGGGAATTTAATTTTGGCAGTTAAAGAATTGGTCCTCCAACTTAAATCTGCAGCTAAGTGGAATTTTCTGATTTATCTCCTTTCCTACAGTTTCTGGGTTTTGTTTATCCTCCAATTCCAAATGGCATAATTGCTAGTTCTTTCTCCCACTCAACATCCATCACCAGGTGGGTGTTTCAACCTTTTTCTATCCCTCACATAGGGCCCTCCAAAGGAAAAGAGGGGTGCTGCTTTTTTGGGGGAAAGAATGCAGGATAGTTGAATACAACAGCCCAGTTTTTTTT